AGTCAATCAATCAATCAATCAATCAATCAATCAATCAACCAATCACAGTCAATCAATCAATCAATCAATCAATCAATCAGTGTGTGTGTCTAGCAAAAACGGAAGAAAAAAGGAAAAAGAAAAAAAAATGGCTTTGGTTTTCCTTTTCATTATTATCTTTTTTTTTTCTTTGTTCCTTTCATATTTGCATATGTAGGTAAAAAAAAAAGAATCAAAGAAACAGGTGCACCATGATTATCCCACCAGCAATCAGAAAAAAATGAAAAACAAAAGTTCCCTTTTTTTTTAACATGTTTCTTTTGATTTTAATACTTGTGGTTTTCGTTTTCTATTTTTTTTAAATCACAAAGAACAAAAACAAATAAAAAATATGGGGATGTACAACCCCATATATATATATATATATTTTTTTTTTTTCGGTCTATTACTCTACGAATTAAAAGTGATGGGGTTTTTTGGCCGCACTTGGCCCCCGGGTTGGCCCCCACGGGCATGATCATGGCCGCATGCGGCCAAAAAGCCCTCCGGTGATACATGGACCCCACGTACTTCTGTGAGGACGCAATAGGCTTCCGGACCTCTTCACCCTAAGGAGGCAAAAGTTAGTGCTGTACTAGCCCAACGACCCAGCTGTGAGTACCTATGAACCAGCAGAGGCCTTTTTTTTATAGTGGGGGGGGGGCGCCGGGGATAATTTGCAAAACACCCCCATAGGGTGAGATATTTGCCAAAATGCCCCTGGAAGATGTGGATAGAGCGGAATGCCCTTTTGGGCCGAAATCTTTGTGTTGTGGCCCTGTCAGGTGGGTGTGCAACTTTGCAATCTGACCTCCCTTGTATGGGCCTTGGCCTTTTTTGCAATAGCGCCTAGGAGAAGTTGGCAAGTACTGGGGCATTTTGCAAAGTTGGACGGTACGCGGTAGGGGTATATTGCAAAAATGGGGGTCCAACCGACGCCAGGGGTATTTCACACAATATGTTTTTTGTCAGAGTGACATTCCGCTCTACCCACATCTTTTAGGGGCATTTTGGCATATATATCTCTTTTTTTTTTCTTTTTTTTTTTTGAAAGAATAGCCCTTGCGATATCCCTCTATCCTGGCGGTGGTAAGCGAACCGTCCGAATTGAGGCCTTATCTGTCGGGCTGCTCCATCTATTGGTGGGGAGCGGCACCTGCTGGAAACCGGGTCCAGCGTCCCATTGATACAACTTACAATACGAATATAATACAGATATCGGTGTTTGTTGTTTCCTAGGGCTAAGGTGATGGTTGTCTTTTCCCGGGGCTCCGTTGTCCCTTGGAGCTGCTATTTTCCCCTTTTCCTTTCATCGAGCTCCTCCTATTCTATTAGCCCAGCCCTAGTTCAGCAGCCCCCCTAAAGTGAGAGAGTCCTGTTCTGCAAGTCCTCTGTGCAATGTTACTGAGAGGTATCCCTTTGGACCCTTTAAACACCTAAACCCTCTCTGTGTAAGCCCTCTATCCTGGCGGTGGTAAGAGAACAGTCCGAATTGAGGGCTTATCTGTCGGCCTGCTCCATCTATTGGTGGGGAGCGGCACCTGCTGGAAACCGGTTCCAGCATCCCATTGATACATCTTATAGCACAGAGAATGTCCCATTGTTATGTCTTAGAACTCAGAGAGTGTTGTTTGTTGTTTCCTAGCGCTGTGCCCATTTCTGTCGCATCCTGGGGCTCCGTTATCCCATGGAGCTGCCAGCATCACCCGTCACATCTTGGAGCATTTTGGCATATATCTCAACTTATGGGGGTCCTTTGCAAATTATCCCTCTTTGTTTTACGAAACCGGAACAATTTATGAATAGTCGTTATTGATGAGCAGCATTGATTGCCCTGGAACGAGGGGATTAAAAATTCCCCCATCTAAATGCAAACCCCGGAACCCCATCAAAGATGTGATACATCAACATCTTCAAATCAAGCCCCAAGAGGGCCAAGGTTCAACCGTTGTTGGACTTCAGCATGTATCCAAGTCACTTCTAGTCTTCTACCCAAGTTCCACGTAGTTCTAAGCTAGGCTACCAGAGTGGGCCCCTGGACCACTTGCCCGGCCGGGCCTAAAATATATATATACATATATTATATACAGGGTCACCAGCCCGTACGTACGGAGGTCCCCAGGCAGACCTCCGTACGTACGGGCGTTTGGGGTCCCGTACGGGGTACGAACCCGACGGCGTTCGGCCCCCGCCAAAATTTATTTCGGGGCCTAAAAACAATTTTTTTTTTCTGCATTTTTTTTGGTGAGTTCTCAATGACGTGAGGTACGCGCTTATACATTTTCAAATCATTTGGCTCAGCGAAACAAGAATAAAAAATCGCTAAAGATGGCGGTGTCAAAACGTGCTCGCCCACGTTTTTTTTCACTTTTTACTTTTTGTTTTCACTTTAGTTCGGGGTCTAAACAATGTTATTATTTTTTGAAAACGTTTTAGTGGGTTTTGCATTATGTGAAGTGCACATCTGTAAATTTTCAGGGCATTTAGCTATTCCCAAAAAAAAATGAAAAATCGCCAAAGATGGCAGTGTCGAAAACGTGCTCGCGCACTCACTAAATTTAATTCTTTTTTATTTTTTATTGTTTTTATTATTAGTATTTGTTTTTTGTATTTTATTTGTATTTCAAATTTGGTAAGGAATTTGGATATAATGCTCAGGCAAATCTTGTTATGTTTATTTTTCTTCATAACATATCTTCTTTTCAGATTTTTTTTTTTTTTTTTCTTTGGGTCCGCCTTCGGCCCGAATGGCCGAACGCATCCCCAAGGTGTCCCGTACGTTCGGGCGTTCAGGTTCGGGCGTTCGGCCCGTCCCGAACACCGGTTACCATGTATATTCAGCCTCCTGATGAGTCGGTGAAACTCCGACGAAACAGTTTGTCACAGCCCCTCGTTTGTTGTCCTCTTCTCCCTCTCTGCCTACGGTTTACCGGGCAGTTCTATTTGACGATATATATATATATTATATATATATATATATATATATATATATAATAAATATATTTATGTTGTATTTGGTAAAGAATTTTGATGTGACCCTGAGGCAAAGTTGTTCACTTTATTTTTCCTGCATAACATTGTTTGTTTTCAGATTTTGTCGGTTTTTTTTTTTTTTTTGCTGGGACCTACTTTGGCCCTTGCACGGCCGGGCCCCCTGGGCAAACAAGGTCACCCAGGCGGCCCGGCTGGTAGCCTAGGTTCTAAACCGGTTCTGGTAATTAAAAGGTGACCGTTGTAACAAACCTAACTTCCTGGGGTCCTTTGGAACACAGAAACTGGGCTTCTCACCCTGAGCTTACTCTCAAATTCTATTTTGGGTAAGTTTCAAAAATAGCGCATCGCGGTAGTTTCACAGCTTACTCTCAAATTCTTTTTTGGAGAGTGAGAGTAGTAGTGTGATTCACCCTGAATCGCGAGGAAGTGGGTGGGTTTTGCGGGGTCTGCATCTGCAGTTGGGGCGCTGGGGACAGACCCCTGCCGTGCGGTTGGCAGGGTGGTTCTGCAGGGAGGGAAAGCTCAGGATGATTGCTTTCTTGATTTTGCTGTTGTTTTCGAGCAGCGCTTGTTTTCTATGTAAGGGACGCCGGACCCGTTTTCCGGCCTGTGTAATGAAAACGTGACCTGGGTATGAACCTGGCTGAATCGCCTGGATCATACCCGGAAGGTTGCCCCCATATATAAAACAATAAAATTTTTTGGTAGTTTCACAGCAAAAA